TAGAGAATGCTTTACATAATTCCTTCTTACCTTTCTTACACAATTAAAAAGTTCAAATTTAGAATTACCTGTTGGTCTTATGAATGTAGGTAAAGGTGTTGTATTGACATTTGTCTTATTTGACTTAAGTTCATCTAATTGATTGTTTATGTGTGACTTAAATTGATCAATATTATTTTGAATTTTCGCGTCTAACGACTTAAGTTCTGATAGTTGAGTATTTATGTATGACTTCAATTGGTCACTATTATTTTTAATCATTGTGTCTGACGATTCAAATTCTTTCAATTGATTGCTTATGTTTAACTTCGATTGATCGAGATTATTTTTAATCATTGTGTTTGACGATTCAAGTTCTTTTAATTGATTGTTTGTGTTTAACACTAATTGATTGAGTTTATTTTTAACCATGACGTCTGACAATTGAAGTTCTTTCATTTGATCGCTTATGTTTAATTTTAATTGATCAAGATTATTTTTAATCGTTTCGTGTGACGATTCAAGTTCTTTCAATTGATCGCTTATGCGTAACTTTAATTGATCAAGATTGTTTTTAGTCATGTTGTCTGGCAATTTAAGTTCTGACAATTGATTTTGTATGTGTAATTTTAATTCTTTCACATTATTTTCAATCATATCATTGGATGATTTTAATTCTGTCAACTGATTGTTTACACGTGAATTTGATTTTTCTAGGTCCAGAGTTAATTTTTGTTTCAGTTCATGCAATTTTGATTCAAATACATTCGTGTAGTTATCAGTAACTGGTACTTTTGCTAGCAGCACATCTGATGGTAGTAATCGAACCCTAATCGGTACAGCATGTATTGAATCAATGCGTGTGACAACGATACTTCTGTGTATCAATTTTGTATTTTCTTGAAATGTAGCTAAATTCAATTTGTAAGCTTTAACAGGTTTAACAATGAATTTGTCACCGGTAAATTCAATATATTGACGATTTTTTGTGTAAAAATCAAAATTTTTATGTCTAAAATTTTGATATGACTCGGCGTCTGCTTTCATTTCTATATGATCATGTACTGTTTGTTGATCTTGATTAACTACATGGCGCCATGCATTCTTGTTGTCAAACGATATATCATCACTACTTGTTGTTTTATTTTTCCGCGCATTACTTCCATTATGTGAATAATCACTAAATTTACTAAATGCATTACACCAATCATTAATACCATAATTTGAGCGAGATAAGGAGCTAGAATCTTTATGTGTGTTTGATGGGCTAAATGACACACCAACACTGAATCCACCAAAGCCTGTATTAATACCAAAATTGTTGTTAAACGAATGAGCATTATGATAATTATCTGATGTATTTTTCCTATAACTGCGAATCTGTGATTGATCACTACTACTCTGATCGATAATTTGTTTTTGTGTTGAAGAAATGCTAGTACCATCATTGGATCTATCGGTTTTATTTCGACCACTACCGGATATATTTTCTGAAATATCATAATTTCCATTTGCATATGTCTGGTTAAAGTGATTCTGATCTCGTTGCTGTTCAATATATGTTTTATTTTGATATGTGGTAATAGTTTTATTCTGTAACTGTTTCAGTTCGTCATTTAATAGACGGACAATTCGATCTGGACGTATAATATCGGAATTCCAATAGATTGAATTCCATTGTTGTTCTGTATGATCATGTAACGTTTCAACATTTAATGAAAGCCGTTGTGTCAACAGTTCTGTCAATGCTTTCTGATCATCATGTGCAATATAATCAGAATCTGTTACTTCTTCTAATTCCATTGTTGTCAATATTTCAGTTATTAGCTGATTCATATCATCAACAAGTAGATAACGTATACTATCATCAACCGTTGCTGATGGTAATTGTTTCAATTCTGAATACATCTTTGTTTTCATAAGATGTTGGCCAGTAATTGTAACTATCTTACATGTTTGCTTCTCAGGTTGTGTACTATATTCCAATTCGAAACCATCCAACATAAATGGCGCTTCTAAAAGATCGTTTAATAATTTGTAACATATTTGACTTGTAGTGCATTCAATATGCACATCAATTTTATTTCGAAGTGCTGTATTCGATTGCCAACTTGTATCCAATTTATAAGCTGCTAATAATGGATTTGTACGTTTCCATACAATTCGGAGACGTTCAGTTGGTACCATTTTTAAATCGCATATTTCCTGTGCACGAATACATCGACCGCGTGTACTTGATACATATTTTAAAATTTTTGTACGCAATTCATTTGTATAGAGGATTAATGAAAGGGTTAACATATATTTGCTAGTAAAAGTATTGTAAAACACACGGGTCTGATTGAGATACACGACGGCCAATGGTGGTACAAATAAACGTGAACGATTTTGTTTATGTTCGTAGACTGCTACTTCACCATCTAAATACGGTACGGATGTGAGAGTGAATGGTGATAATTGTGCTTGAAAGAAGTCTTGTGTATGAATAAAATTTTGTGAAATACCATAGAGGATAACAATAAAGTAGAATTGAAGATACATTTTTAATGTGTTTATATCTTGTAGAGACATGATCAATGAATATTTTTAAATTCGTATTTATAAGTTTAAGTAGAAAGGAATTTTTCATTACAAAAAAGACGTTATTTTTGTTATCTTGGTGTTTCATTTCCTACCGAAAGATATCTCCTTTCTTAATTGATGTGTGTAATCAGTTGCCATAAAGAGAAAACAAAGAGATGGTATGATTGGTTTCTTCCCCACTTTAAGATAGGTATCAATTACATTTTATTAAGAGAGCTACCCCTTAGAAATGATTTTCCACTTTTGACGGTTATTTCATGCTGAAGTTTTCAGGAATGACTGATCTTGGAGAGATACGCTTTTAGTAAAAACTTCAGCTCAATTGGTCAT